AAGACCATCTAACTCCCAGGGCAGAGTTTAAATGGTTTGGATTATTTTTTTTTGGAAGACGTTTTTTTAGCGAGTTAGTTTTCTACGGGATGGAGACGCTAACCCCATGCCCAACCCTCCTTCTTTACCTGGGCTTGGGACCGGCAGTAACCCTATAAGAGCTACAGGCAGAGTTTTTAACAAAATTGGAAGTACACATCACTGACCATTGTCGACTACAAAAATAAACACCCTAATTTTGTTAATATACACGTAGATGATTGATGAATAATATTTCTGTTCCAAATGCGCTGGTACGGCGGAGGGTTAGGAGTGTCCGCTCTACCGCTCAAAATGCTCTCACATGGTCACACGTATACAGCCGCTGACATGAAATTCCTATTCACTGCCTTCTCACGGCACTACTGTAGTTCATGAAATTGAGAAGAGGAAATGCGAATGTGCGGCGCTTTAACTTGGTTGGTGGATATGGAGGGTCCGTTGGGGAAAGTGGAAAACCCTGATTCCAAACCAAGTGGGCACATGGACTCCAGTATCCTGAGGGAACAGAAAGTGTATGGACCTATTGTTGGTCACCGGCTCCTTACGTCACTTCACTGCCTTGTGAATCAGACGTTTAGGTCAAATACTCTGGGTATAAACCTCTTAAGTAAAGCACCTGCTTCGGTTTGAGAACCCGGGCACTATCACAGTCCACACACAAATCAAATGACTGTGTGACGCATATGTATTCGGTGCCCGCTTTTGTGCCAATATTTATGTATTCAAATAAATAAATAAAACGTCTTCATGATGCAAAACAATCATCTTTGATGTAACTGGATGAACAAATCATATACGAAATAAAATGTATCTAATAATGAACAGAAGAGAAAACGAAGGTAAATCAGTTGGTGGATGTGTCACTGAATTTTTATGGTTTAGTTAAAGTTAGACATTCATACTGTTGGATAATGAACAGGTCAATGCTCTAGATGTCAGGCATTCACTCGGAAGACCAATAGATTCTGTGTTAGAATCTCGCGAGGCAAGATCGTAGATGGGCACTGCTCATAAATCCCACATTAAGACGAAATGGACAGCCATCCAATGTTTCTAGGAGGACAGTTGACAAACTCGTTCGAAGTAAAGATCGGTGTCAGGCAAGGTTGCTTACTCTCACCCTTTCTCTTTCTCTTGGTGATCGACTGGATCGTTAGGCCGTCAACATCTGAAGGGAAGTATGGAGTACAGTGGACATCTAGGATGCAGTTTGACGATCTAGACTTCCCAGATGATCTGGCTTTCCAATAGAAAACGCAACAATAAATGCAAGAGATGACCAGTGTAGCAACAACCTTAATAGTATTAGGTCTCAACATATACAAAGGGAAAAGCAAGATTCTCAGATATAACACATCATGCACCAATCGAATCACACTTGACAGAGAAGCTTTGGAGGATGCAAAAATCTTTAAATATCTGGCCAGCATCATTAATGATTACATAGGATCTAATGCAAGAGTAGCATATCTACAATTGAAGAACATCTAGAACTGAAAGCAACTGTCTGTCAACCAACACCAAAGACAGAACTCTCAATACAAATGTCAAGACAATTCTACTGTATGGGTGGAAACTTGGAGAACTACGAACGCAATCATTCAGAATATACACGTGTTTATTAACTGTTGTCTACACAAGATACTTCGGTTCCGTTGACCAGACACTATCAGTAACAGATTATAGTGGAAGAGAACAAACTAGGTCCCAGTGGATGAAGAAATCAGAAAGAATTAGTGGAGGCGAATAGGACACACATTGAGGAAAGTAACCTTATGCGTCACAAGGCAAGCCTTCACATGGATTCTTGAAGGCCAAAGGAAGAGAGGAAGTCCAAAGAACACATTACGTCGGGAAATGGAGACAAACATGGGAAAAATGAACAACAGTTTAATGGAACTAGAAAAAAAAGCGCAGGCCAGAGTGTGTTGGAGAATGCTGGTCGGTGACCTATGTTCCATTAGGAGTAACAGGCGTAAGTAAGTAAGTAAGTATGATCTCAAAGATTGAAATTATGAATAATATCCACACAACCCCCCCTTCTTCTGATATAAATCCGTTCATTTTCATTTCAATTAACATCGATTCATTATGATAATTGAATATTTTCTTTAAAACGCAACAGAATGGTTAAACTAACTTTCATAAATTATCCTTTTATTGTAAAAACATTCTTGTAATTAAAGGGATTCCGGATGATTTATATCTATATGGTTTATAAATAGAAATAATCAACAACTAATTGAATAAAATTAAAGCATTACATTTACATAATATGAAGATCAGCTTCATTTCATAATATGTCAATTGAAGCTAGATCATCATTAAAAATCTGAAAGCATTGGATAGTTGTGTTCACCCTAGAGTATGGAATTCCTAAGCAGTCAACATCCATGATAATTTATGTAGAACTGGAACAGAATCAACGACCTATGAGTCATGTACACGAATACTTAACCTATTGACCATTGATTTGATATTCAATGGTGTTACTGATTAACTTCAATCAGTCCATGGAATTGAACCACCGTCCACCATTGCTGATTAATGACTGTCTCCAAGAGCTATTTCATGGAGTTCTAGTGAGAATCAATGACCAGTGGAGTTCAACTGGGTCAGTTGTGAGATAGTAACTCACTGACGACAATGGTGAACGATGGCACAACTTCATGAGTTGGTTGAAGTTAGATACAGTTGGATACCAGCTGAGTATTATTATTATTATTATTTAAACACATAAACATTGGTACAAAGAGGCACCAAATAGATATGCACCACATAAATCATTCGATTTTCGTAAGGGCTCAGATCGAAGCAGGTGGTTTTCTCAGGGAGCTACACCCGGAGCCTTTGACTTAAAGGTCTAATCCACAAGGCAGTGGAGAAACTTCAGTAGATAAAGTCTCATGGTACCCGGTGACCAACGATTGGTTCACATGCCGTCTGTTCCTTCACGATGCTGGAGATCATGTGCACCATTTGCTTAGAATCAGGGATTTCCAACATTCCTAAGTGAATCCTCCATATCCACCAACCCGGGGTTAAGTGACGGATATTCGCATTTCGTTCTTTCAGACTTGTAAATAACAATAATGCCACGAGAAGGCAGTGAGTAGGACTTCTCTGGTAGTGGTTGTGTGCACGTGGCCATGTGAGAGTATTTCGAGAGGGAGAGCTGACCGTCCGTAATCTGGGCCGTATTTGGGCATTTGTGGGCTTGCCGGCTCAGTGATCTATAGGTTATTCGAGAGGCTGAAGTTCCTGGGTTCGAATCCCGTGAGCGCAATCCTGGATGCAAATTATTCATATGTACCATACTAGGACAAAACGGACATCATCCAATGCTTCCAGATTTTCCATGATGGTCTAGCTTCAATCGACTCATGAATTCAACTAATGAAATTACTAAAAAATCTCCACAAACCCCTTCCACCTCATTATTATATGAAATATTCATTCATAACAAGCACTTACTAAACGTTTTTTGCAAAGAATACACAGCGTTTACAAATTCTAAGATATTTACAAATGAAGTAGATAACACGCATCAATTAAATTAAAATGTATTAGGTTCTGTTATATATTACATCTTAATAAAACTATATGAAGACTTAAATTCATAGAAACATCATAAGATAGTTTGCTTCCTTGTTTGTTTGTTTGTTTCTTCATCCCATTTTTCCTTTCTTATTGACCAGTATTCTTTGGAATGTAGTTGGAATATGAATAATTCAAATGTCATTTTATTATGTGGACACAATATCCACGAAACGCCTTCTGACATGAATCAACATATGCTCAGTAGTGACTGTCTCCAAGAGTTATTTTATGGAGTTCTAGTGAGAATCAAATATTAGTGGAGTTCAAGCGAGTCAGTTTTGAGATAACAACCCAATGTTCAGAAGAACAATGAAAACTCTACGATCGAACCATTCAGCTCAAAGAGCAAAAGTCCATCGAAATCATCCACTTGAGATATAAATCTTCTCCATCATAACAAATGAATGAAAATGTGTGTAGTAGATGTAATTGTTAAAAGATGAAACTTGGAGAATTAACACAACCGTAATCAAAATAGTATCTACGATGTTGCTTAATGTCGGTTGAACGGATATTATCTGCTTCTAGCTAAAGAGAAAACTATATAACAACGCTGGAGTTGGTTAGGACATACATGATGGAAATGATCAAACTGCATTCACTATAAGGTGATTCTCAACTTGGAATCCCGAAAGGAAAAGAGAACGGAGGGAAATCAAGGAACACATTGTCGAATATACAATCTAATCAATAATGAGGAAAAAACAATCAGATTGGTTATTATATAATGCAATTTCATGCCAAAAACAAAATGATACTGTTTTTTCCTTTGTAGTACAAACCTGCCATAAGATCAGCACCATATACAATCTCTAAACTTTTCCTTATACATTGTATATCTATAATAAGCAATATTATTTGAAGAAAAACCCATCAATATTTGTGTTTAATCAGACGTACAGTAATGCATTGAATGTGAGACAACACGACCTGATTGGATGTTCTCATCTAAACAAATATACAAATCATTTGAAATTAAATATACAATAGAAATCAATTTCAGATGGGTTTATTTTACGGATATTATAGTTGACATCATGAGTCAATTGAAGCTAGACCATCATGGAAAACATGTAAGCACTAGAAGACGGTTTCATCCTAGTTTTGAGATAGTTACTCACTAAAGACAATCGTGAAATACTGAGGATTGAATAAAGTTACACATGAACACTGTTGGATGCCAACTGGCTCAATGGTCTAGAAGAAAAGTGTTTGCACATAAGACCAATAGGTATTGGGTTCCAATCTTATGTGCGGGATCATAGACACGTCGTGCTGAGGAGTCCTATACTAGGATGTGAATTACTATAAGTTGGTAGTGTTTTTGTCATTGTTGTTGTTGTTGTTGTTGTAGTTACACTATTTATACTACTATTAATAATATTGGTGAAATGAGTAGTATGAGTGTTAGTAGTAGTAGTAGTAAAAGCAATAATAATTATTGTTGTAATGATACTAGGTGATATCATTGTTGTCGGTGTTGTTGTTGTGCTTTCATTGGATGATAATATAGATTTTTGTTTAATATCTGTGGTATTCTTATATGAATTAAAAATTTTCACAATATTTAATAGACCAGTAGATTGATTCGATTCTTTTGCTTGTTTTATCCATTCATTAGATTCATTTAATAATAATGTCATTAGTTCAGTTTGTCCTGTTAATAAATGTAAATTCCAAGTACGTGACATACGTCGCCAATATATTGAGGTACCACTAAGTAGTTGTTTTATTATTTGGATGATATGTAGTTGATGATTAGGATTAAGAATTAGAGTTTTCATCACGAACTGACATCAATTATGATACCAAAACTCTATTTAACCAAATAAATGAATGAATTTCATATCAAAATCTAAGACTTATCATTGTAAATCTGATTGGTTCGTTCATAAATGAATAGTCTTGCCATGTTACATAATCCATAAAGATTAATTTGACCAAATATTGATTTCACTGGTTGAGATAATGAGTAAATTGAAGCTAGACAACCATGAGAAACCTGGAAGCACTGGACGGCCGTTTCGTTCTAGTATGGGACTCCTAAGTGTCAGTGCGCATCTACGACCTCGCCCACTGCGAGATTCGAATCCAGTACCTTCTAGTTTCGTGCGCGACCACTTAACCACTAGACTACTGAGCCGGCATCCAATGGTATTAATGTCTAACTTCAACCAATCCCCGAAGTTGCGTCACTGTGCACCATTGTCTTCAGTGAGTTGATATCTCACAACCGACCTGGTTGAACTCCATGTGTATCGCCTTCTCACTAGAAATCCAGGATGTATCTCTTGAATTCAGTCAATAATGAGCAGATGATTATTATCAGACGGAGTTTTGTGGAGATTTTAGAAATTTCACTGGTTGCAATCATGAGTCAATTGAAGCTAGACTACCATGGAAAACCTGGAAGCACAGGACGGCTAGGTTCAATTGACTCATGATTTCAACCAGTGAAATTTCTAAAATCTCCATAAAACCCCTTCTGATTAATATTGATTTACTTTCATGTATAATAAAATGAAAAAAAGAACATTTCATGAACTAAAAATTAACTTACTGTATATTGATTGAATACGATCTTTATAAGATTTTATTGATTCTATACGCTGACGAATAGATTCTGTTAATTAGTCATTAAGAATATGAAAGAGAGGGTTTCGTAGATATTATAGGAATTTTCAATAACTGAGATCATGAGTCAATTGAGTTTGGATCAATATGAAAGACCTAGAAGTACTGGATGGTTGTTTCGTTCTACATAAAGGACTCTTCAATAGTGAGTAAAATTCAATGTAATCAGGTTTTTCATAACAATCTAGCTTCAATTATGTGATGATCTGAACTATTATTGTTTAGAATAGTTATCAATGTGTTGATATTCGATTATTTGTCATTCATATCGATGTTGATGAATGTTTAAATTATTCTCGTATAAGGATAATTTCTGAATAAAATCATCAATACAAACTTCATTTCACAGGTTGTAATCATGAGTCAGTTGAAGCTAGACCACCGTTGAAAACCTGGAAGCACAAACTTCATTTCTATCTGGAATTTGTACTGATGACATCGTTCAGAATATCAATGAAAGCAACAGTTCTCAAAACTGATCAAGATATTTTGTAGTACCGTAATGCAAAATATTTGATTGTCATCATCTGTGCTATCTTTCACTACAACATTACTCTTACTAATGTCAGTATAACTAATATAACTAATATAACAACTACTACAAGCAATACTACTACTAACACTACTACTACTACAACGACTACTGCTACTACACCTACGACTACTAGCACACCTACGACTACCACTACACCTACTACTACTACTACTACTTTGGTGTGAGCTACTTATATTGATATAAGTAGTATATAACGTGCGTTAAAAGAACGTAATGTCTGGCAGCGGAAGATGGCGAAGATTAAGAAAGTTAGAGCGAGAACACATTGGAATTTGTAAGAAAATGCATGAACAATGGAATGGGAGACAATGGATTGGTGATTGCAACAGAAACAGTTCAGTTTGGTTTGATGCATGAATATTTTGCAAAATGACGATTGACTATATGGTATCCAGATTTTGTTGAGATAGACTGTAATTGTTGTGCTAACTACATTCGTTTGACCACACCCGTGTTCTCGCTCACAATGCTACTACTATTGTTTGCACGATTTCAGTGCGGAATATTTCAAAAATGAAAAATGCGAAATTCACTTCATAATCCTATTTGATTTTAAAGTCTAATGTTGAAATAGATAACATCCAGTGGATGTTTCTAAGATCAGTTCACAAATACATCTTGATATTTCAAATCGTTATATCATATGTGTAAATCTGTTTAAAAAGTTGAATAGTTAGACAGTGTCATCAACGAATACTTACTTGTTACTCGTTCTATTTGATCGAATATCATATCTCTTTCAAAATATAAGCCTATGAAAAAGCAAATGACATTGAAATGATTCAAGTTCTTTATGGTTATAAGAATATGTATTGATCAGATTACATTAAATCTTATATAATTGAACTTAGTCAATATATAAAATTTGAAGGATAATTATCAGTTTAGGGGTTGTGGAGATTGTTAAGTTTTTTGATTGAAATCATTAGTCAATTGAAGCTAGTGGTCAGGTGTTAACACCATTGGGTGCAGGCTCAGTGGTCCAGTTGGTCAAGCGCCTGACGAGAAACCAATAGGTCATGGGTTCGAATCTCACTGAGTGCGGGATCATAAATGCGCACTGCCTCGCAGGAGTCCAACACTAGGACAAAACGGGTGTCCAGTGCTTCCAGGTTTTCCATGGTGGCCTAGCTTCAACTGACCCATGATTCCAATCAAAAACAAGTGATAATGTCTTACAGATATTTGTTTTTATAAACAATTGACATTGATAATCAATCAAAACATAAATAGATAACAGATGTAATGATGATTGATAGCTAACAATGGAATTGAGAATGAGAATTTCGTTCTATTTTGAACTTATCAGCTAGTTATACCTATATCCAAATGTTAATGTTCATTTCAGGGCTTGATACTAAGTGAATCACATGATAGCATGTAAAGCAAATGGTACTAGGATGAAGTGTCAGAATGAATATCAACTCTGAGATGTGTATGTAAATCTACTTGACAAGTCTCAAATACAACGAAACACTGATTCCATATTTCACTACTAGCTGTCATCCGCCTCTACTTATAATACTTGTGACTGTAAACAATATCAAGGTAATTCGCATAGGATATACATATATAACAACAAGAGATTGATCAATTGCACTCGTTATAATCAATGAAAAGATTCAATTAAACAGTATTTACCATTTCCTGTAGACGCATATAGAAATAATAGAAGTACATTAAGAAGTAGTACAAATGAATGGATCATATTCAATATTGTAGTTTCATTTATTCTTCTTCTTCTTCTTCTCCTTTTATACCATTTCAAAATGATGGTTAATGTACATAAATACTCACTATGAATATCTTCTATTTCTGATTGGAATAAGCCTCATTATACATAAATAATTAAACAAACTAATTATTCCGAATTACGAAGAAGTTGGTAAGTTTCAAAAGTGACCTCATTAGTACACTATTGTACATATGGTGTGATTATATGAATCTAGACAATATAGTTTTGGATTATTCGGAATGTGTTGTAAATCATTTACAAACTTCATAAACCACACAGAACCTAAATTCATACGAATCTATTCTATTCTTTACCATATTTATTGAGCGAATCAGTAGTAGTAGTGGCAGTAGTCATATGTGTAGTAGTTGGAGTAGTATTAGAAGTAGTTGTCGTGTTAGTAGTAGTAGTTGTTGTTGTTGTAGTAGTAGCAGTAATGGTAGTGGTAGACGTAGGTGTAGAAGTAGTGATAGTAGTATTTGTCGTAGGTGTGGTAGTAGTGGTAGCAGTACCAGTGATAGTAGTGGTAGTAGTAATAGTAACAGTTGTACTAGTAGCTGTTATTGTTGCTGATGTGTAAGTGTTAGCAGCAGTAGTAGTCGCAGTAATAGTCGTAGTCTTAGTAGTAGTAGTGGTAGTAGTCGTTGTAGAGTGAGGAGGAGAAGGAATAGGAATATTTGTATGTATGATTGTATTCTAGTTATGTGCCAATATCTGTGCAGATCTATATTCATACTGTGGTGTGTACTACTGATGTCGACAGATTTGCATAGTATGTATCACCAACCGTAAGTGAAATTCTTGGCGGCAGAGGTTGAAAAATTTAGAGGAAAAAGAACGAGAAAAGAGATAGATTAGTGTAGAAACAAACGATCAATCAAGTACGAGACAATTGATAGGTATTTTGCAAATGAAGTATTTACTATATAGTTCTCAGATTTTAGAAGGACATACTGTAATTTTGTATTAAATTATATTCGGTTGTCCCCTGTTTTATAATTAAGAGTGTTTGACTTATATTACAAACTAAGGATCCTATAAATCAGTCAATTGAACCAAGAAGTTTTAGCTGAGCACGTAAGAACGTATTGTATCTGTCATTACAAATCAAACAGTTACCAAGTATAAAAGAATCATTAGTTCATACAAACATTACACTGTCATAGGTGTTCTCGTCCAAAACTTTACCAACATTTTGTTTTTCAATAAAGATGAGACATACAGAAAACGTGGAAATGAAAAGATCTACCTGAATTAAATGAAGTTAAAAACGCAAATTAGTAAAATGTTCATTTCACTTAGTGTTGTTTGCCTATATCTTCCTATTGTTGTTTAGAACTGCAATTGATCAGCCTCTTATTGGCATATGTGCATCATGTGTGGATTGTCTTGATATTGCTTCAAGTCACAAGTTTTGTAAGCAAGGTTGGATGATGATGGTTAGCAGTGGAATAGAAGACGCATGTATCATCCTTTCTGGGACTCGTCAGCTGGTTGTACTTGCATCTCACAGTTGATGTACACTCAGGGACTCGAACCCAGTACCGTTTGCTTCAAACTCCATCGCGTTATTCACTTAGTTATTAAGTCCTGATAGCCAACTCCTTGTGCAATATGGTGAAGATTAAATTCACTTGGTATTTTTCACTTGAATCTTCCGATTGATGTTTAGGACTGCAAGTGATCAGTCTCTTGTTGACACATCTACATCCTGCACGGATTGCCTTGATACCTAAATGTTACTTGAACACATAGAACCGAATCGT